ACCTGCTGATGCTGAAATAGATCTAGTAGGGAGGGTGAAAACAAATTAATCAGGATAATTTTTGTCTGATGAAACACGTCACTTTAGTTTTAATTGCGTTAGGGAAAGGAATGTCACTTTAGTTTTAATTGCGTTAGGGAAAGGAATCATGTTTTGGGACAGGTAAACTTTTTTCTTTTTTTTTTTTCCTTCTGCAGATCTGGCATGACTTTGTCTAAAAACTGGTTTTGACATAGGATGGCTAAATGGAAAGACTAGTTCTAGTTAGTATCAAGTGTGAAAACTGAACAGTGATTTGGAAAAGTAGATATGTGAGATGATTGAAAGATGAATATTCACTGATTTGCTAAATTGGTTATGAGGAGAAGTGTAATATATTGCAGTGTAATTCAGGCTCAAAAGACTAGAAAGACATGGAAACTAGGTATATGGGGAAACTTCTTGACATAACAAAGCATAGTAAAATGGGGGCTAGGGGGAGAACAGGTGAAATGCCACTGCCTAGAATTTTTTGAATGAGGCTGAATATAAACCAGCAAACTTATCAGTGGACACTGAAAGGAACTCTGTGGAGATAACAGCATACAGTGCTCTGAAACTGCTGCCAACCAGTCCCTTTTATGATTCCTAGGGGAGCAAAAATTGTTGCTCAGTTCCTAAATTTTGAGTAGGAGGGCATACATGAGCCTGTCTTTTCTGTGGGATCTTCTAAAGTACTTGCAGACTCTGGCTAAATTTGATTAACCACGGTGAAGTGGAGGTCACTTACATACCTGGTCTCCTCTCAGGTGTTGAAGAATAACTACCTTCTTCCCAGGTTGTGGGATATAGTTTTACTAGTTTGCCATTTCCACCTTTGTGAATGAAGCCACAAGTCAGTGAGGAGTTTTGAATTGTGTTCTGCCCATGAAGCTGTGTCCGCAGTCAGCTCCATTCGGCTCACAGTAGCTGAATGCCTCTTGCTTTGCACTCAAAAACCTCCCTCCTTAGGAAGCAGCTGTTGTGGTGCCAGGGATGGACTTCAAATACTGGGGGAGAGAGACCTTGAAGAAGAAGCTGTGCCTTGTGAGAAATGCGTGGAGATTCCCAAAATATCTTCTGATGCCAGGTGTAATCAGCTGTGTTTATGTCTGTTGAAACTTCTATGGCAGTATGTGGCCTAATTTTTAGGCAGGATTTTCAATAGTCATGGCTGAATGAAACAAGTCTGCTTGAATTGGTTTGGATCTAATCAAATAGTGCAGATTTTGGGTGTCTGTCAGATGTAGATAAGTGTTCTTTGACTCAACAACATTGAGATCAAATGATTTGAGGATGCATACTGATTTTATTTTAATTGTCAGATACATGTCTTCGTTTCGATGAATGTGTCATAAACACCCAGCTTCTTGTTTGTGTCAGGCTGGGAGCAGAAGAAGGGAGTGAGAGGATTTGCTCTAATGAGAAATAGTCAGTGCTAATGGGGGCCCCAGAAGTAACAACCGCTTAATTTTTCAGAAAAACAAGGTGAATTGTAGTCACTCAGAAGAAAGTATGGTTTTTTGGTCTATCATAATTAGGACCTAATTGCACAGTACCAACTTTGCAAATGTTGTCTTGTTGGCTGTTCTCTTGCTAACTGTTTAGAAGAACAATACCAGAAAACCAAAGGAAAAATCAATCTGCTCAGATTGAAATATTGCCTTATACGCTATACTTGCAGATTCTGTCTGATCAATACCATTTGCAAGATGTATTGGAACGATCTGATCAGGTTATGGCTGTGGCAAAAGACTTGTTTGGGGATGTTCCTCGCACGCGAACAGGTAGACCGTCTCATTTATATGTGGTAGTACATTTAAGATTATCTCCTTGCTTTTCATAAATAGCCTTGCTTTGCAAAGTATTCTTTTTAACTGTTTTCACCTCATCATCTAACATAGTATGATTGATCCTGTTCATGTTGGATGAAACACAGATGAGGATAACACCTCCTGTGGCAGGGGAGGGTGAGCCGTGGCCGGTTATTCTACTGTATTGGTCCCTTGTGGAATTTTGTATCGCTTACTGTGAAACACCTGATGCTCACCATTTCCACAGCCAAGCTACCGGCCTATACAGAGCACCAGTTCGAGCCACTGTAGTAGTTCTGGTGCGCATTGCTACATGGGTTGACTGCTTGCTCTTGGATATTGTTGAAGATTTATCATCAATTCGTGAACGAGGCTTTTCCTTTTCGTATCCTGGTTAGCGGGTCCTTACGCTGCTGAAAGGCAGGATTGGCTGTTTGCATGTGAAATCTTAAGCTTAGATTCTTTTCTCTGTAGGCTGCCATTCTCTTTCACTTACAATGACTGTTTCATCCTATATGCTTCTTCTGCACAAGTGTATGTATTTACACAGGTGAGAAGGACAAAGGCCTGGTACATGGCTGAATGTATTAAGATAACTCTATGGTTGACCTTTGGCAGTTGTTTAAAGCGACATACATCCCTGTGACCCTTTCTGTGCAAAGTACGGGAGCTTGCTTTTTGGTACAAAGTCCTGTGATGTACTACAGACCGAGTCCTCTGTGTTCTTCCCTATTTTGTCTGATCCCTCTAGGTTTCCCTAATGTAACAATGGCTCCTAACTGTGACCTAGAATCATCTCAAGGACCCATTGTACAAAAATGTGATCCTCCCACTCAGCTTTCCATCCTCAGTGAATCTGTCATGGATTCCCAGGTAATGTATATTCAGTTGCATGCATGTCCTGCAGCTTTTTTGTTTGCACAAAATAAGAATATTCAAAGGTAGAGTTTCCAAGCAGACCTACACCTTTCTTCTGTGTATTGATAACATGTTGATAACATAGGTAGAAAATAGTATTAAATGGAGGTGAGTTTGTTTTGAGAGACTCTGGGAATAATTTTTTTTTTTTTTAATTTCTTAACCTCTGAATATGAGAGACACCAACTTCTTATGTCTCATAGAAGCTCTTTCATACAGCATGCTCTCCCTGCTAAATTCTGGAATTATCAGCAAGAGAACAAAGTAATTACAGACTAAGAAAACAACTCTTGTGTTACTTAACTAATTGCTACATAGTGAAATATGCCTCTGATTTTCTAATTATGTCTGCATATATGGGGACATAGTGAGTTGGGCTCCAATTTATTTCTGATAACACACATGTAAATGTACCCCAGTTAACTCCACAGCCTTGATTACTTCTAAAAGTTTTAACTTTTAATACTTCACATTCTTTTACAATTATTTAGATTAATTTAAAAAGTTTTAAAATTGTTTACATTTGTTTAAAATTTCATTTAGGTTGCCTTTGTGTTCTGTTTTCTTTTCATAACATGAACTGTACCAGGAATGCTCACTGTGGTTTGAGAACAGGCATATGACACTCCTGGAAATCAGCTCACTGATGAAGACCAAAAGGGCTGTGGGAGTGAAAGCAATGGTGTCATATTCTCATGGTTCTCTAATCCTGTTTCCTGCTATCTTGTACAAATATCTGCAATTTGAGTTGCAGGACTGCTCTGTCATGTATTTCGATGTGGTATTTGTTTTTTGTTTTTTTTTTTTTTATATGAAGAGTTAACTATAGCATCTTCATAAGCTGTATCACTGGATGCATGCTGCAGGATAGGCTTAAATTTGAAAGACACATGTACTGATAGTTGTCTGCTGAGCTTCCGTGAGATTTTCTTTTCCTTACGTGCCTACGAAAATTATAGTTAAAGGCTATCTGGTGAAGCCTACCCAGAAGCGCAGAAACCTGCTAATTTGAGGAACCCTAATTCCAAATTTGATTGCTTCAGTTTTGCTAGGAATGTGGTACGTAGGATTGTATTTTGTTCTGGTTGCATTTTACACATGGAATATAAATGTAATTTTGCAGATCTCATTACAAGGTTGTTTAGCTTGTAATGTCAAGTGGTTGAAATTTTAGAAATGCTATAACTATGTGGCTTTTTCCATCTTCTGCCTGCTATATCTCTGTATTTGTTTTGGTACATTCTTTAAAGCTTTTTTATCCTAGTGTGTGTGGTCTTTCTTATTTAATATAAATCATCCAAATAAAATATTGGATATTGAATTAATTGCTTGCTGTGTTATTTTCAGAGACCATTGTCAGTATTTCTTAGGTACTGAAGTCCCCCAAAACTCTTCCCACAGAGGGGTGTGTTTTTCTTTCTTTCTTTTCTTTTTTAATTTTGTTTTGGAGGTAGAAACTGAAACAAATGTGTTTTGTTTTTTTTTTTCTTGAAACAATTTCAGAAAATTGATCCCTAACTTCTTCCTAAAGACAAATTGAAATTGCTCTGAAGTCCCTTTTTTTTTCTCTGTTGTCTCCTAAAAAGGCTCTTAATGAAGTTGAAGAGGAGGCATTATCAATCTATCAATCAGAAGATGGGCACCATGACTCTTTGCATTTCAAATCCAGCATCAATTCTGACAGGTCAGTACAAATATATCCATTCCGGTTTCCACCTTCTTCATGCTGGAAATAGATGGAGTTAAAAGGGTGTTGCATGGGTATAGTTAAGTTGCTTTTTCTGGTGTACATCCCCCCCCTCCTTTCCTGACCTCAGAATTCTAGGGAAACCCCTTGTTGTAGCATTCAGACTGGGAATGAATGTGAGCAGGGAACTCACCTGAGCAGTTATAGATATTTTAAAAAGCTCTTTCTCGACTCTACAGATAATCTAGAATCATGCTATTATCCTATTACAATTCACTGTTATGCTTGTTTTGAATGTAGGCTACTTCGGTTATTGAGAGAAGAAAATTCCTTGGTGAATTCTCAGTTGTGGGCTGAAAAGGATATGAGAAAAGCTACCTTATCACAGGAATCAAATGTGCCTTTGACTCCAACAACTGTTTCTCCATCACTGGATCAGTCAGGTTGGATTTGCCAAATCACAGCCTCTCAAGGATTGTTAGGCTGTTCACAGGACCCTGTCTGGAATTCCTTTTCTGGGTGGGGGTGAGAGACAGAGACGTGCTAATTTGGCTCAGATGAATTTCCAGACTTAAAAAGCCAGCTTTTCTAATAAAATTACTTTACCACATATTACTATTAAGATCATACCCAAAATATTTCATGTGTGTATTTTTTGTCTTGTTTTGTGTTTAAACCAGCCCTCAATGCTACCAATGTAGTCAAGAGAATCCGTTCAAGACCTCAGAATGAAGGCGAAGAAGAGACTGCAGATTCTGCTTACACTGTGAGACAAGTGCTGAACCCGAAGTCAAGGAATCAAAAGCAAATTGCAGCAAAAAGTTTAGTACTTTTAAAAATAGCGTACCTCCCTTTGACCAAGGTCCTTAATATAATAAGAAAATGTAGGTTGAAAGGGATCTTTGGAAGTTGTTGTAGGACTAACTCCAAAGTTTGATTAGCGGGGGCCTTGTCCAGCCGAGTCTTGAGCATCTCTAAGGATGGACATTCCATAGCCCCTTGTGTAGTGTGTTCTCCTGTATTCTGCACATTCATTGGCGAAGCAAAATCCGTAGGAATCTGGGAACCATAAATATGTCCCTTTGATGCTGCCCTTTACCTTGCTAGCCATGGAGTTCTCTCCTGTGCAGGGCTTTTCTTTTTCTGATATAGCTTTCTATTCTATGCTGCACAGACTTATGGTGCATTTCAGTCCCCATATTCTACACACATGTATATGTGGGGACTGACATCACATACAAACTGTAACATGAAGGGATTGTTGTAAAAGAGTTGCTCACTAAATATGAGACCTAAAAGCAGCTGATATTTTTCACTGGCTGTTCACTGGCAAACTGTTTCCATGCTTTTAACTGAGAAGGTGAAAGTATAAACAGGTATCTAAGATAAAAGCACCAAACAATCACACTTGAGAGGTACTAACGTGGTGGCAGAAAATATGTTTTGATGATCTGAAAATAACTGGAATGACTGGGGATGTTCTTTGATGGTCCATTTCAGCTCAGGGCAAGAGAGGGCCTCTCCTTTGATTTATTTCAATAAACAATGTAATTTCATTGGTATTGCAAAGCTTTCTATGCAAGTTGAAATTCCAATGACACTTCCCCCCCCAGTGAAAAGAAAACAAACTGCACAGAACTCTGCAAGACAGAAGAGAGATGATTCTCCAGCTAATTCAGTCCCCATTGACCTTCGGAGGGACAACAAATCCAGCCTAGATGTTCTCAACCGCATGATACATGAAGTGGAGCATGAATTGGAGGAATATGAGCGATGTACAGGTCGTGAGGTTCAAAAAACTGAGAGAAGTGAAGGCCTCACCGGGTTTACCTTGTCACTGGTGAACGCTCTCTGTCGTTTGATGCGCTACCTCAAAGAGGTGAGAAGACTTGAATTACTTCTGTAGGCTGAATGAAAAAGGGTATAAAGTTATTTTACAAATGTGAACTTTGGTCTTTCCTGGCTCCCAATCAGTTTACTTTGAAGTCTGATTATCATTGCTTATTATTTGGATTGCATGCAATTAGGAATTAAAACTTTTAGTTTGCTAGAAACAGGTATTCTTAATGAAGAGGGAGGAGTTGACTGCAATGAAAGTCTCTCAGAGGCTATCAGCAGAAAATAGCAATTGAAATAGTTTTAAATTTGTTATTTAAAGATATTCAGAGTTGTAGTAGGGTATTAACTACAGCCTTGTTTACAAATTCATTTTCTTCCTTTGCCTCGCAAAGGCAATGCTATTGTCACTAGAGCAGTGGACCCAAATCCCCAATTTTCTTTGAGGGATTCCTTAGCTCTCTTTTTCTATCCATAGCAGCAACTTCACCTTAAGCAAGAATGACCTGAAGTGCTCGCTATAGCAGTGCACAGCTGGGGATCAATGGAATTCCATAAAGAAGACTACCTGTAAGCCATGTAGAACTCCTTTTTAAAAAAGAAAAAGAATGTTTTTTATTTCATCTCTAACCCAGAGCTACTTAAGATGCAGCAGTGGCTCACAGATTCATTTGGCCTATGTGAAATTTTGAACCAGATTGTGGCAGTTCCTGCACTCCTAATAGACACAGCAGAATATGTTATCTAAATCCCAATGCTCCATTTCGTAGCAAAGGCAATAGATTCCTAATGAATGTGGAACTGTCCCATTTTGGTTCCTTTTCAGAGTGTGTAATAATAATTGGGGAAAAAACCCACTGTATTTTAAAATTTAATTTTTTTTTTTTCCGTCTGGTTGTATAATAAGTTATTCCTTGTATTACCCTGTATTTAATCTATATGGAAGCATTTACTTTAAGACCTGTCTTGGAAGCAAACGGTAAATAATAAATTCAAGAGTAAAAAGCCACTACCATCAGAAGATGGGACTTTGGCTGAGAAGATCTTATGTTTCAAAAGAAGTTAAGAATGCTTGTTCTCTGTTAAGGTTGTGATACCAAAGCAGGTATTAAATTTGGTTCTTTTGCAGTTACGGGGAAGGATCTTCTGGACTTCCAATAGAATGTTTTCCATTTATTAGGAAAACATCAATTTAATAGCATCAAATTCATATTATAATTGCAGTTATAACCCTATTCAGATTGTCTTTAATTTGTGTTCCACAGAAATGAGTTATTCTTGACCCTCAGGCTTCCTCCAAAACAACTCCAGATTTTCTTTGTCATTTTTTTCTTTCTTAGTTGCTGCTTTCTCTTTATGAATGTAACATTCAATCTATCTTAAGAGCTTTTATCCTATTCAGACAGAAGGCCAAGGAGTCTTGAGTGTTTAAGTAGGCTACTTCTTTTGAAAGATGTATACTGACTCGTATTGCCAATTTTTACTGAGCACCTCTATGATGTTTCTATTTTAATAGATGCGTTACCGTTCCTTCCTCCCAGGAGTTGATTGTTGCTTGCAGAATTGTCTGCAACTTCTTTAGATTTACTACCTAAATTCATGAGTAGAAATATGCACTAGTCGCTCAAGCTACAAAGTGTGGCTAATTGTATTCAGAGTTGCTCACGATGGACAGTGTGCATCCATAATCTTGACTGACTTTTCCCCTTTTCATGGAGCTTTAATTACAATTAGACTTTGAGAATTCACTGGGAGGAAGCACAGCTTGTCTGAGTATTTCCTAAAACCTGGTCCCTGTGATGCTAGGAATAAATCAAGTGCTTGTGTGCACCATCTGTCTTGCCTAGCTGGGAGAGTTAGCAAAGTTCCAATGCCTCAATTACAGCTGGCAATGTATTTCAAGAAAATGACTTTGCAGCGGTTGTGTAAAAAGCCTCTGATTTTAGGTAAACAATCAGTCCTCATGAGGTTTTGAAGCTTCTAGAAAGATTTCCTTCCTCTTCTGGGGAGAAAATAATATTTTCCAGCTTTGCTGCAGAAAAGCTAAATGCAGAAAAATTACAATAAAGGATGTTACTTAATGTATTCTCAAAGCTATATATAAAAAGTAGGAAGAGACAAATTACTGAATCTTTCATGAAAGTTGTATTAATAAGTGATTAAAAAATCAACTCCTACAAGAAGGAGGAGGAGTGAATATAGAAGAGGCTAGAGAAAAGGGGAAGAAGAAACTATGGAAATGTTTGCCAAGCTATACAAAATTCTTAAAGGGAAGTGGATAAACCTGACTTGGTTCCTAAATGAATTTCAATGTCATCTGCCAAATGCTAGAATAACTCCCCCCCTGCCCCCATTCTGCTAAAAATGCTATTTCTTTGCCAGACTTGCAGGGCAAAAAGTTAGAGTGTATGCATGCTACATTAATCTGTGTTGCTATGTTCTCTATCTCTGCTTCTGCATATTCTGATGCAGTGTAAAAGCTTGTGATTAGAGGTACACCTGTCAACGGACTGGAATGAAGATACTTCTTTCAGGGTATACCAGACCCAAATCCTACCTGATGGTAGGAATGGGTGTATACAGCTGTTAACCCTGACGCTCTCCCCATGCATACATGTAAGACGCATAGCTGCTTGGAAGCTTTTCCTCCAAGACAAGGTTAACGCTATGTAGGGCAAGTAGATGCAATAGCTTATCCAGATGCTCTAAGGCATCAATAGACTTCATCACTGCTGCCAGGGTTAAAGTTTTTATTCTGTGCTATCTTTGGTTTGTAAAAATATAGGACTGTCTACATTCTTTTCCATTTTCTGTGTCAGCCTGCTTCACTTGGATCAATACAGAAAAGCTGTTCTCTCTAGTTGGAAGAGAACCAGAAAATGGATGGCTTGTCTCTGATATGCTTAAAGGAGGTATATCTGCCTGTCTTTGTGTGTATCTGTGATTTAGTCTCAAAAATATTTATTTATTCATTCACTTCATGTGGCTGCAGAGCTGTTTTGTTTTAATACTTCTTCCTTGGTGGTTTTTCCCTTCTGGTCCCAATGCCACCAGAAAATAATCTATGGTACGTTATGGGCAGCTCGTGCTCTAATTTTGTCTGTGCAGCAGCAAAGAGCACCCCAATTGCTTATCAGGATCTCTTGTATTTTGGAGACGGGATGTATTTCTCTTATTCAGGGATTCCTTTGAGTAAATCCAGGCAACCGTCTGGGGAAGGGCTCCATCTGCTAATTCTGATGTGTTTATGTGACTTTGTAGCTTCCACTCTTTTAGCTACGATGGTCCAAAAAGTGGCAGTTGTGTATTCCATTTACCCGTTAGAGGTGGAAGGGACTCTTTTGTGTCTTGTACAGGAAGCCTGGCTACTGCAGTGGTCTATCTTAAAATAATAGACTGATAATGTCTTTTGAGGGCAAGAGGTTCTTTACAGTAAGGTCTTTTGCCTCATGCTCAAGTAGATTACTTAACAAATAAACCTTTTTGTCTTCCTTAAAAAAATAAAATAAATGAAACCTTCTAGAACGTCTCCTCTCCCTGAGGGAAAACGTTAGAAAGCAAGTATTTTCTCCTTTATTTAGTCAAATTTGTCTTCATTAATGAAGTAAGGATACTAAAGAATAGGCACAAGTAGCAGAGGATACTGATGACCATCAACACACCTGGAATTATTTGATTACTGCATGTGATTAAGATTCAGTGACTTAAAAAATGGTATCTGTGCAGAGTGACAATGCTTGTAGTTACAGCCTGTAAAAGTTGTAAATGCAGAAGAACAAGGATGTGTAGGATTCCCTACAGTGTGCTGGAGTAACAAAGAAGGAACAGTGAGCTCACTGACAGTTCTCAAGCCCTGAAATTGGATTTTGTCGTGAAAGTAATGAAGTCAATTTAGCAATAGTGGGAAGAGCTGTTGCAGTGTGATGTCATATGGACTCCTTCCTGTTTCCAAATATGAATCTGTATTGGTTTATAGTAGGTTTGTAACTTTTCTTTCTCTTCAGAGTGAAATGCAGCTGCGTGAGAAAGAGGTGATGAGGCAGCAGCATGAGGAGATGTTGAATGAACACAGAGAACTGATTGATGCTCTGACTGCAGAAATACTTCTGGTGAGGGAAGAAAATGTTACTATGCAGGTACTGAACCCCCCTTGCTCCTTACCCATCAGGATGACTTGTTAGAATACTGAGTTGTGTTGCAAATATGGGCTGAGATGCATTGTCTCATGTTCAAGAGATTTTAACAATAAACAGAAAGAAAATGATAAAATTGAATGAGGAGCCTGAGAATTATAATAGCAGGTATGAGGTGGGGGGAAGGAATGATTGGAAAGTCATTATTTTATCTTCATTTATAACGTTTAAGGCCTGAGAATATGCTAGTTCCTTGAAACTGAGCTTTACTTTATCAATCTAAAAGTGTAAGCGTCTTCTTCCACACTTCTATACTGTTAACACTACTGGAGCAACAGAGTAGACTAGATGTAATACTACATTTTCTTTTTTTCAGTTTGCAGTGGAGGTAGATTTGTTCAATGGTTATGTTTGGGAATGAAGCAATAAAGCAACCTTGGAGAGGAAGGGGGTGTCATGAGTTAGGAAAAGGAAAAACAAATAATTTATTTGAGTCAGGAGAGAAAACAAATGAGAAATATGGAGACACTAATACTTCACTGGAATCCTACAGATTCATGCAGTGGTATTAGGAGGCCAAATTTCTTCTCAGGGCTGCTTGTGGTATATAATTTTCTAATTCATGTTGCTAGAATAGAAATTTCTGTATCTCTTTTTTTGCCTTCCTCCTTTAGAAGAAGCTTCAGCAGTACATGACGGTAACAGATAAACAGCTGATCTCTCTCACACAAGCATTTAAAGGCCTCCCTTTGGTAGAACCTAGAAGAGAACAAAGTCCAAACCATTTTGGAACTGCAAGCAAAGGTCCAGTGAATGGCCAAGGTGTGTGTATGCATGTGTGAAGGATGAAACAGGAGTTGTGGTTAGTTTATCCCTGCGGTGGAAAATCTGGTATTTAATAGAAGTCTGCTTGAATAAATACCTCTTGTGTGAGCGTGAATCTCACTGCTGGAAATTCATATGCCATTGGTTCTGCTGTGAGTACAAGTGCTTTGCTACAGATTATCTTTTAACAACATCATAGATTGTATTCCATCCCCATTGGCATCCTTCTGTCTGGACCAGGACTTCAAGGTTAACCTTTTAGCCAAGTCCTGGGCTTGAGCTTGAAGTGATACATAATATATTATTTAAAAAAAAAAAAAAAAAAAAGGGAGGGGAGTAGCCTTCCCCCATTAAGATGGCTTACAAAGTCAGGTTTGTTCTGAGGGTCCTAAAAAAACACAACCAAACCAAACCAAACCCAACTGAATCAGGATCTCACCTTTCTGTTGCTGAGGCAGCCTGACAGTATGAGGTTGGTTCTGCCATAAGGCGCTGGAGGTCGCTGCTGACCAGAAACAGCAGCTACTGAGGCCTGTTAACTAACGAGGCAGAAGTCTGTTACTTGATATTTGTGACTTTATATCAGAGGTGAGTGACCAGCTAGGTGATATATGACATCAACGCAGGCTAAGTTAAGCCGGTAGCATTGATGGCCAAACTAACCAAACATGATTCACCTTGTACTTTTAACGTTATTTCACCAGGGAGTTTTCTCCCAACTGTCTTTCCTGATAGGTTGTTTAAATGCATTGGTTTTGCTCTTAAGGCCAGTAACTCCTTGTGAATCCCAAGATTCCTTGGAGCTATTTGTATTCCTTAGTTAAATGTTGTTTTAGTGGACATTTTTGTGGTCAAAAACTTTCTTCCTGCCTGTTTCTGTGGGGTTGTCAGAAAGAAGCCACGTACCAGATCCCTTTTTTGTGATTTCCCCAGGCTTTGTAAAAGCAAATATAAAACCCAAACAATCAAAAAAGTGCCCCTCAAAAAAAAAAAACCAAACCCCAAAAAACAAACCCCAAACCTTCTTATTCAACAATTCTGCCAGGACTAGAATTTCCAAATCTTATTTCCTTGTTGGTCTCTCTTCTCAGGAAGAGGCATCTTCCTGAGAGGAAAGCTTCCTAAAGTTACAAAAATATATCTTTCTCTTCCCCCTTCAGAAGGAGATCTCTTGCGTACTTAAGGCATCTGACTGGATGTGAGACATTTGAGATAGCTAGTTTTAGCACAGAAACCATGCGTACGTTCACATAGGACTTCTCTGGAGAGAGGAAGCATGGTTGAGAGAGGAGTGGAGGGGATGTCATAGCGAAAAATAGCGTGTGAGTAGAATACTTTGGAAGTGCAGTTCTGTACAGTGAAGCAGAGCAGGAAGATCTTTCTCATTTTTTGCCAGGGTCATTGAATAGTGGGTGGCAGGTTTTATATTCAGCCTTAGAATCCCAGTAATGTGGACCACAAGCAGTATTTTATGCAAACAGCCTCTTCTGGCTCTTTGCCTTTGAAGGTGCTTTTTGTCTCTTGCGTTTTGGGATCAGATACGTTCTGCTTAATTTACCGTTAACTTCTCTTTTGGGAACAAATGACCCGAACAAAATGGTGAAGGGAGAATTCAAAGATAGCACTGACGGACCAGTGGATATAAGCATATTAAAATTACTGTGGTCTTACAGCTAGCTACAACTTTGATTTCATGCTTTTCATTTTGTGCCTCCCTGGTATGTTCAAAGTAGATGGCAACCTAGACACAAACTAGTTGTAATTACATACAGAAGAATAACTTCTTTTTTTACTGAAGAGATGTCTGATTTGAATTAAGTCATAAAAAGATCATCAGAGAGTTTGAAAAAGCTTTGAATTGTTTTCTACTTCACCATTGTTGCCATCAAATTTTTAACATAGGGGCATTAGGACAAATGCGTAGGTCTGCTTTTCTCAAGAGAGTATTACCAAATGCAGCTCACTTAAATACCTATTCCTCACAAGTCACGTGTCTGTAAGTCTTATGCATGGGCTACAAACAGATCTCTTACTAGTATCCTGAAATTGTGAGGCTACATGTAAGAGCTCTTCTTGCTCTTAAGGCCAGTAAAGACTTGTATTGTGCTCGAGTGAGAGAGTTCTGTACCTGGAGATCAGAAGGAAGTTAGGAGTGTGTGGGGAACATACTCTAGTCTGTCTTTTCAGATACCTGAACACGAGTTGTTGTTGAGATTTT